CATATCCTGTGCCCACTTTTTAATTGGATTATTTGTCTTTTTCTTGTAGAGGTGTTGCAGTTTCCTGTATATTCTGGAAATGAGTCCCTTGTAAAAAACTTTTATATGCACTGGGAAACCAAGAAATTCACGAGACTTGCTTTGCTGAGGCATTGACTTTATTGTGGTGGTCTGGAATCAAACCCACAATATCCCGGAGGTATGCCTGTACCACTTTTGATAGTATCACCAAGGCAGGGAAAAGTAATTCTCCAAGTATTCATAGCAAAAACAGCCTCAGAATGTGTAGGATAAAGCAAGGGTAGGTAATCTGTGAGCAACGATCAGGAAACTTGAGGGTGTTAGGTCTAACTTGGGAACTGAGGCTGTCCAGCTAGTGACTGAAGCCAGCACGAGACAGAGGCAGGGGTTATTTGTGCACAAAGGGCCCTGAACACTACTCACACAAGTTTTTAAAATCAGACTTGCATTTAGAATGATAGCTGTTGTGTCAGTGCACCTTCAGGGTAGCAGCCTGGTGTAAGAGTCGAAGGGAAACAGTTAAATTAAGAAAAAGGCAGCACTGGGACATGATCCTAGTTCCTGCAGGACCAGTGATTATGAGCCTGTGGTTAATGCATTATTTTTGCTTCATGTCCTTCAAAGAAGTCGGCACTCACTGCCAGCTACTCACAGTGCCCAGGTGGGGCTCAAGTGGACGTGTGGGGCAAGAATGGAAGGAGTAGCTTCTGATCCTGCTCACCCATCCACTACCATAAAGTGATTCTAACTCCTGGCAACCCTATAGGGCAGAGGAGAACTGCGTCACAGGGTTTCCAAGGATGCAAATCTTTATGGAAGTGGACTGCCTCAACTTTCTCCTGGGGAGCAGCTGGTGGTTTCGAACTGCCGGCCTTTTGGTTAGTTTATTCTAATGGTTAATCCACTGTGCTACCAAGGTTCCTTGACCCTGTACTGAGTGGTCCATGAAAGGCTCTTAGTGACTGTGTGGCCATTGCCCCCATGGTACTCCTCACATAAACTCAAATTGTTGTGAAGTGCTGTACAGGTGGGTCTGACTCATAGCAACCCTGGAGAGGGTTTCCAAGAAGCTGGTGAACAATGACCTTGGGGTTAGCACTCCAGTGCTCATCCTACATACTTAGGGCTGTGTCCCGTTTCCATAGGAAAGTCAGATGCAAGTTATAAACACTCAATTTATCCCCAGGTCCCCTTCTTTATGTGAAGAATCTCAACATCCCAGCTGCAGGTGTACAGCTTGGAATGTTTTTCCCATGTATCAAGTCCAACCCCTCTAATTCTCCCATTGTGCAAAGGGGGAAACTGAGGCACAGAGTGGTGAAAGAGTCCTCCCACAGGAAGAAAGGGCAGAGATGCTACAGTCATGGACCCTTATCCTAGTGGGCTACACTGAGCTCAGCTGAGTCACTTTCCTGTCTCAGCTTTCGTTTCCTCATCTTTAAAACAGGGTAAAATAGTACCACTAGGATTGCTGCAGGGTGAAGTGGAAATGCCTAACTTCAGACATGTAGGACATGCTCAGCAGATTTAGTGATGAAGGGCAGATCTTCTGCATACACCCCTCTCCTGGTTCTCCACTCAGACCAGCAAATCACCAAACACACCAACTCTGTGTCCAAATGTTGCTTTATCTTTCAGCATGAAAGATCTTCACAGTATCAAAAGTAAAGAATTGAAAAACAAAAACAAAAAACCAAACACAAAGAGAGCAGTGTTGGGCCAGCAGTACCATCAGTCCCCAGCCCAAAGGCTAGCCTGGCCCCAGGCTTTGAATGTGGAGGCTGCGTAGCACCAGGGAGTGGCTCTGCAGAGGTCCGGAGGGGCCCCAGCACAGCCCAGCATCCATTCAGCTTCTGGTTGGTCCAGGATGGTGGGGAGCAGGAAGTCTTGGGCATGTGGATGGGGTATGGGGAGGGAGAAACTGTAGACCTTCAGCTGGCAGTCAGGGTCACAGAACACTCTGAAGGAGTCTGATCTGGCAGGGGCTGAAAAAGCAGAGAGCATGACCACACAGTGAGCCATGGTCCCAGGCTCCCCCTGCTGGGGCCCCACGGAGGCAGGAGCAGCTAGTTACTTTTGTTCCCTAGGTTACAAGAGGAACTGCAAACACTGAATATGCTTCCTCTATCAGCTCCAGCTGAGTGTGAGGTTATATCCTATTAGACACAGAGCCCCAATGCTGGGGTTCAAGAACATGCTAAATCTCAAGAAATGGGGAACAATCCTGGAGGAGCCAATCCTCCCAGGCTAGGTTGGTAAGACGCCATCCTCTGGATTTGCTCTTCTGTCGGTAGGTACTTGAGGTGGTCAGCTATGAAAGGACTCTCGCCTCAGGCTCCAGGTACACAGGCCTGGACCAGGTTCTGATGCCATGCTGGTACTGTGTTCTCACACACTTGGGAGTCCAATGCAGCCCCAAGGAGGCTGGAATGAGTCCACGGGGATGACTGGAGAGGGTGGGAGGCACTTCTGCCTTGGAAAAGATCACTTAAGGTGAAAAAGGGGCAGCGGGAGAAGTGAGAGGTGGCTGGCTGAGGCTTTCCAGATGATACTTGAATGGGATTTGTGGGGAACATGGGCCCTTTTCCAGCCCTGCCTGTGGGGTGAAAAGAGGCAAGAGGGCACCTTGGACCCAGAAGCAGCTCTCAATTTCTGCATGGAACGGCTGTTTGAAGAGGGCTGGCCCCTTCACAGCTTCATCTGGGATGTATCCTAGTTGCCTGCATCTGGGAGCCAGCTCCAGCAGGCAGGTGGGATTTAACCCCAAGGCTGGATGGTGTTGGGGTGGGGGGGAGCAGACCCCCTGCCCATACTGCTGCCTGGGCACTGTGGGAGCCAGCTGGGAAGCGTAGTAGAGGCCCTGGAAGGAGATTCCTGGGGGGAAGGACCCCTTCAGAAGCTCACAGGAGGGAGAGTAGGCGAGCAGAGGCTGAGGGGTGACTGGTCATGGGAGAACATACGGGCCCGGGCCTTCAGAGACAAGAGCCCATGTGCTGTTGCTATGGAGGCAGAGGGCCAGGTCAACACTGCCAGTCCAAAGACCATCTCCCTGAACTCCAGAGCATGAAATGGTCCGGCAGGAGACACAGAAAATGGCAGAGTATGTGGAGAGGGGGTGGCATGCATATCTGGGATCTCTCTACCTTACTGAGCTGTGCTGGAAGTGGTTTTCTTGAGGCTGAAGTTGGTCCAGTTCACGGCAACTTTCTGTCGTGTTTGTTTTGCAGAATCCAAACAGAACCTGTTGGGTTTGGAGACATAAGAAAAATGCAATCAAAAGATTCCCTTTCTTCCTAGTAGGACCCTTCTCTGGACCCACGTCCTCTGCCCATCCTCTCTGGCACCCAGGTGCTGGGTGTTCAGCAGGTACGGGAACTTTCCAGGTTTGGGGGGCTTCCTAGATTCAGCCTAGATTCAGGGACAATGTCTGAAGACAGCAGAGGCCATCTCAGGATTCAGGCTCCCTCCTTATCCTCGAGCTCTACTGGGTTGCTTCCCACCCCCCAAGTATGCTGGTTTTCTTTACCCTTCAATCTCAGTATTTGTGATCCTGACTGTCGCAAAGGCCCTTTCCTGTTTTACCCGGTCAACTCATTCTTAGTTTTCAGAAAACCCTGGTTTCTGCTTGGTTGTCACCTTCTCTGGGCAGGTGTCCTTGGCCTTCCTCTACCTTCAGCTTGGTTTAGAGTTCCTCTCATCTTCCCCCACAGCCCTAAGACCTTGAGCCCTTCAATAGCACCCCATCACAGGTTCCATGATTTACCCCTTCCGAGAGCTCAGTCCAGCCCCAGAGCAAAGTTAAGTGACCACAGATGACATGAATAGAACTAGAGGTAGGCCTGGCTCATGGGGCCTGACATGCTTCCTTCTCCATTTCCTGCTTCTTCCTAGACACCCAGTCCTACCAGGGGTCCCAGCAGACAGGCTAAAGGAACAGGGTTTTGTGAGGTCTGAGGCCCAACTGGGGCTCAAGTGTGGGTCAGAACAAGTGGGTGAGTGATCAAGCACCTGACACCTACCTCTTGAAGTACTCCACCTCCCGGTCCGTCTCATCCATCTCCACTCCATCCGTGTCCTTGGGCAGGAATACATCGTCTAGGAAAACACAGCCAGGAAGGCTCAGTGTCCGCAGCCAGGCCTCTGGGGTATTGGGACAGTGCTGCCCACTAATGAGGACTGCCCTCCACCCTGTGGCTTGGCTAGGGTAGGGGTGGGGTGAGCCACTCATTTCCAGGGGCACTCACCCAAGGATGAGGCCGACTTCTCCTGCTTGTTACGACTCCGGCGGCTGCGACCCTTGCCCTGTGGCAAGCTCTGTGGCCTTGCTGGGCCTGGGGGCTGCACAGATTCCTGCTCTGGGGGCCGAGTCTTGGCTTCGCTGGGCCAGTTTCGCCAGGAGCTGCCCTTCTCCTTCTCAGTTTTGGGGCTGCCAGTCCAGCCCAGGCCTGGCCGGCTCCCCTCTCCAGCCTCAGCATAGCTGCCTATTTTGGAAGGATCTGGGGCTTTGCCTGGCTGCTTGGAGCCAATAGTCTGACCCTTGGCACTGGGAGCCTCTAGGCTGGCTAGAGGTCTGGGACCTGGGCTTGCCTCACTTTTCTTGGCCTGACTGCCCTGTCTCTTGCCCTTCCGAAGCTTTCCACCTGAGGCCACAGATTCAGGCAGCTCCTGCTTGCAACCAGAGACTTCCTTTGCGCTTGGGTCCTCAGAGCTGGGGTTGCCTGGCTTGGGTGTTTTGACCCAGATCACCCGGGAGAGGTTGGGCACGGTGTTGAGCCTTCTCACTAAGCCATTCTCTGGTACAATACCAGGAGGGGGGCCCCTCACCTCTGTCCATGGTGGGTGGGGACCTCTCATTTCTGCCCATGGTGGGGCTGGCTCGCCTGGAGCTTGTAATGTGTGGTTCTGAGGGGAGCCCAAAGTCAAAGGGGACAGGTCAAGATTGATGTCAGGCCGCTGCTCAGAGGAGCCATTGAAGTTTGATGGGGGCCGACTCTGGGGATCAGGTTCAGCAGCCCCGTCCTTGGCATAGCCACTGCTGTCCATGCTGAGCTCACACACACTGAAGCTGGCCCGGAGGGAGTCCTTGACAGTATTCTTGATCTCCTGCAGACGACTACTCAGGAAGCTGTTGACTCGGTCCAGCTCCCGGTCAGGCCACTCCAAGAGCCTCTCTCTGGCAGGCCTTGGCTCCCGGCTTCCAGAAACACTGTGATGTGTCTGCTTCAGGGCTTCTGCTGCCAACTGGGCCTTCTCCTTCTCCTACCAATACAAAAGGCAGTGGTGTCAACAGGGGCTGGGCAGTGGCCAGGCAAAATGAGATACACCAGCCTGGTTACCCAGGCGCCTGCCTGCTCACCCACCCTGCAGGAGTGAGAAGGAAACGCGGCTAGGTGCATGTCCTGGGACAGAGGTGCAGCGACACCAGCAGAGGTCAGACTTCCCAGCACGGTTCATCCAGAAACCCAGTCAGTCCTCTGCCTAAGATGGCTAGGAGGCAAAGGGGTAGGAACCTTGCTAAGTGGGTCTTGCCTCCCAGGGCTGAATATGTATGAGCTTGAGCAGCCCACTCACTTGCTGGGTCTCAGTGGACTCATCTGTAAAATGGGGACAATAATTCCGGTTAAAGACTAAAAGGGGTTTGCCTGTGAGGAAGATGGCTATTACAGAGGCGTTCTGTAGGTAGGAGAGGAAAAAGTCATGACACCTAGAGGGGGCATGAGGTTGTCATGGGAGAGGAGTCTGCTCTGGATCGCCAGGAACATGTATGTCCGTCCTGATGCTGTGATTGGGCATAACCAGAAGGCAAGGTTCCCACAGAAAGGTCACTCACTGCCCAGCTGGCCCCAAGTCATCATGCGGCACAAGTGTGCTCCATGATATATGGTGGGCTCTCACTCCAGATTTAACAGCAGCCCTTTGCTCATGTGATGATGAGAAGCTAGATGTGGTTAATCGGCTCTCACAGACCCAGTGCAGGAGTCAAAATGAGTCTGTGGGCATTGAGTAATACCCCTCACCCCCACCACTTCAGAGGGAGACAGGAGGCAACCAGCAGAGCCTGCAAGAAGTGGGTGGCAGTGGTGCATCGGGGCTACTTCCAACACTGCATATATTCCAGTTGATCTGGGAATGTAGGAAGAAACAGGAAAAGGAAACTGTGGTGTGCTGCCACTTTAGAGTCAAATTCAGCAGGTGATTGTGTACCAGCCAGGTAGGCACTGATACGCTCATCTTTTTTGAACTCTGACTCCACAACCGGACTAGTGGTGGGACCCTGGACAAATCACTTATTCTCTCTGCATCTTACCCTCCCCATCGGCGCACAAGGGAAAAAGAAAGGCACCTATATCCAACAGACTTGCTATGAGGAGCCTAAGTGGGCATTCAGAGTCCTCGTGGGAGGAGGCTGCCCAATGTGATGGGGAGGAGAGTGCTCCGCTGGGGATGGATGAGCAACAGGGGCCCTTCACCACTTTCTTCACCAGAACACCTTTGCTTTTATTGATATAGACTGAGGTTCCATGTCTGATTTCATTCACAGAAGAGTTCCGCTGCTAAACCAAAGAGTCAGGGAAAGGTATGGAGGGAGCAATGTGGAACCACCCACCAATATGGCAGTAAGAGGAGAAGGCACAAAAACACATTTGGTGCATCTGACCCTTTCACAGCCCTCTCTATATCTCATTCTCCTCAATTTACAGATGAGGACACTCAAAAGACTAAGGAACCGGCCCAAGGTTACACGGCTTACTAGGTGGCAGAGTTGGGGCAATAATCCTGCTTTGATCTGGTCCTCAGAAGACCCTATGGTTTTCAATTCCATTTGACAATTGTTTGTTGACTGCAGCTCTTTGAGGCACTGGCTAGGCTCTGGGCATTCAGCTGTGAAGGAGACATGGTCTCTGCCTCGCTGACTTCATCTTTTGGGGAGACAGAGAGCAAGTAGGCTGTGGAGCGAGGAGGGCTGAAAGAAGGGGGCTTTCCGAGGCCAGAGGCACAAACTGGAGCTGAAGTGTGGGCTAGACCTAGATTAATTCAAAGTGGCAGGGACAAGGGAAGAAATCACAGGGAACCCAGGAGACACCCCTGTCCAGCCTGGCCACCAGTGAGTGCTTTCCAGAGGAGGCCATCTCCAGGCTAGCTGAAGAGGGAGGGAATATCCTGGAGAAAGCGAGATCAGCACTTTCCAGACAGAAGGAACAGCAAGTGTAAAGGCCAGATACAGCAGCAATACCTCTAAGGGAATGCAAACCACCTGGAGGTGTGGCTAGAGCTCAGATTTCTCTCTGTGGGTAGCTGGGCAGGAAGGCCAGGGGAGAGACAGAGAGGAAGCTGAGAAGCTCAGCAGGACTGGATCACCAAGAGCCATGCAGGCCACCAAGAACTGAGATTTAGACAGAGGCAATGTTAAGCTACTAACAGGTTCTAAAGTAGTGGTAGCAGGGTGGCGAGAAGTGGGGCTGCTTTAAGCTACTCAGGAGGTAGCATGGACCGGGTTTGTTGTAACTGGTAGGGCGAGGGAACGAGTCAAGAAAACAACACCGACAAGCACAGCTGCTGCTCAAGCAGCCACCGTTTATTGAGTGCTCACCACATGCTGGAAATGCAGCCAACCCTTCACATGCAGTACACCATATCTCATCCTCACAACCACCTACAAGTTAGCTTCTCCTAGAAGTCTCATTTTGCGGATGAAGAGACTGAGGCCTGGAGGTGAAGTGATTTGCCCAAGGTCATACAGCAAGTGTGGCCTAGCCGGGTTTCAAACTGATGTCTAACCCTGAGGCCACTGCTCTCATCACTCCTCCGAGTGGCACTGAGGACTCTGGTTTGGGCAACTGGGTAGATGGTGGCGTCTTTAACTAGACAGACGATAGGAGAGGGAGAGTAGCTTCTTTGGAGGAAGAGGACAGCTAGGTGTTGGATGTGCTGTTTGGGGTGCTTATGGGCCACCATGAGGAGGTGCCCAGCAGCAGTAGCAGATGTCAATGCCGAGTGCAGGGAGTAAGTGGGTTGGGTGCAGTCAATTGGGAGCCAGCACTACCTGGATGGTGTCACCCTCCAAGGAGATGTCCTCAAGAGGAAGGGGACAGGATGAGGAAGAAGAGGTCACAAAAGAGAGAAGAACTCAGAAAGGAAGGTAGACTCTTGGGAGAGAGCATGGTGTTCCTTCTGTCCTTTCCCTGCCCCTGCATGGCTGAAGAAAACAATGTTTGAAAAAGAGAAGGAACACAAAATGTCAAATGTTGCTCATTGGACAAGTTAAGATGGGGACAGGAGAGTATAATGTTGATTTGATAATAATGGAGTCCCTGGTGATCCTGGGTAGAGTTGTGAGTGGAAACAGTTTGTGGAGTATTGACAAGAGGAAAAGTGAAGATGGTGAACGCAGACAGTATTTTCCAAGAAATTTGGCTGTTATGAGGGAAGAGGCTGTTTGGGGGAGAGAGAGGTTGCAGGCTCAAGAAAGCGTTTGCTTTAAAAAAAAAAAAAAAAAAAAAAAAGAGTACTGAAGTACATGAAAATGTCAGTGAGAAACAGTCTAGAGAGGAGAATGGGCTCCAAAGGAAAGAGGTTCACTGTTGAACCGAGGAACAAGATTGGGGTGGCCTAAGGGAGAAAAAGGGACAACGCTTTTCCCATGACAAGAGGAAGTGCACAAGCTTGCAGTGGAGTGGTGAGATGTTGAAGGAATGCCTGTCTAATGGCTTTTTAAAAAAACAAACAAAAAAATACTGAGGTAGGAAGTGAGGTTATTAGCTGAAAAATAAGGTGGGGATGGGGAAAGCATGGAGGTATAGAATGAATGGAGATCTGACAAAGGGACTGGAGGATGGAAATGTTGAGGAGAAAGAGGAAGAAGGGAAAAGGCCTGCAAGGCCTCAGTAACCAGGAGGCCATGCAGCTGGAGGGCCCAGCAGATCTGATGATGTGCCTTCCTTGAGACTGAAGAAAAGGCAGGCTGGGGTTCTGGCCAGAAGTGCTGTGGTTTTTTCTGAGTGGGTATACTGGAAGGGCAATGGGGTAAGGAATTGAGAGTGCTGGCAAGAAAGTGATTTAAGGATGAGCCAAGGGATCTAGGTTTGTTTGGGAAGACAAAACAATAGGCAGTGTTACTGTTTTCCATGAATGAAGAGGAAACAGCTGGGAAGCTAGAGGACAGAGGGAGAGAGGTAGCTTCGATGGAACAGGATGAGTATGTGCAGTAGTGTAAGAGAGCAAGAAAGACACTTAGTTTCACCTATCCCTTCAGGTGGGTGAGAATGAGCAGCCCCTACTGGACAGCTGCTGGGGGACGCTGTGTTTTGGGGTGTCTAGGAGGTAGAGGGAGCTCGGGAAGGAGGTTCAAACTGCCTGTCTCTATGTCTATTATGTCCCACAATTGTAGGTCTGTGATGGCAAGCTATCTTGGTCAGGGTTCTTTCTTGGGCCTTGGGAAATGGGCCTGGCAGATAGGAGTTGTGCAGTGGGCTCTGGAGCAATTACCCATACTAGGAAACACCTGAACTGTGCTTTCAAAGGAAGTTAGTCAGGAAGAAGAGGAGGAAAGAGACAGCATTACTGGTAAAAGGAAAGGGATACATGGGCAAACTGCCGCAGGGAAAGCCCACAGCCTGGATCTGCCAAGTGTACTCCCTGGGGCCCTAACTGGGCACCACTACCTTATGAATCGGCTGGGCCACAGAGAACATTGAAGCCTGTTAAAAACATCAAGCAGGCAACTTTGAGTGGGGGAAAGAAAGGAAAGACTGTTTTCTGAAGGCACTGATGACAGGGAAAAGGATCCTGGTAGTCCTTTGGGCTGGAGAAAGATGAAGCATCACTTCTGCTTTCCAGAGGACCAGGACTGCTTGACCACCCAGGAACTGGAGCTAGCTGGTTATCAACCCCAAGTCTGTTCAGAGGTTGGGCTCCCAAGGGTGGCACTGTGCAGACGAAGTTGCAGTGTAGTCGGGTAAGAGGTAACGAAGCGGCTGGGGAAAAGCCATCAAGCCCTGGGGCTCTTTTGGCAACAAGGCTGCCTGGGAATAGCTCACCAGGTCCTATCCTCAGCCCTCTGTGAAGCAAATTCGACCCTGTGGACTCTCTCACTCTCATGGCTTCAATTACATCTCTATGCTGGCAATCCCCAGCCTTAAACCTCCATCTCCACTTGTGTCTCTTGGGACATTCTGAGTCAACATGTCCCAACAGAATTTACTGTCTTCTGCATATCCCATCCTCACTCAGGGAAAAGTCACCACCATCTTTCCAAAGTCATCCAAGCAAACACCTGAAGACACCTGTCACTGCTCTGAAAATCCACCTCTTCTGCTTCTGCCCCAGAGCTGACCTTCAATCAAGCATCATCAGACATCTCTCCCTTGAGCCACCACTTTCCAGCCTTGAGTATCAAACTCGAAGTTTTCCTGCGCTGAGTACTGCCCCCTCTAACCTACCTTCTACATTGCCACACAGCAGTCTTAGTACATATCTGACCAGTGGATTCCTCGATGAAGTCCTGCAGGTGACTTCCTTTCAGCTGCAGGACTGAACCAAAGTTCTCCGCAGGGCCTGGAAGGCCCTCTCTTGCCTGTACTATGGTCAGTTTTAAGCTCAGGCCAGCCCACACTGCTGTGCAACAGGAGGTGCCTGCTGCCAGGAGGCCCCTGGTGAGTCTGTGCCAATCCCTGTTACTCAGCTCATGTGCCATCCTCTTGTTACAGCTACTTCCAGCATGTCTGGCAGGACTAAGTCACTCTCTAATATGCTTGATCAGCTCTCTGCCAAGTCTCCCCACTGGACTGAGCTCTTCCAGGTGAGAATTGCACTGCGTCACGCTTTGCTTCTAGTATTTGGAGAAGTGTTTGCTGAATAAGTAAAGGGCTGAGCAGTGGAAGCAACAAGTCCTGGGCTGGGAGGACTCCACAAGCAGCTTCGGAGACCACGACATGATTTCCTCCATCATGGGCCCCTGATGCCCTCCCAAACTTATTCAGCCTTTCCCAGAGTAGTGAGCTGTGCCAAGGCTTTTGGCAGCCAGCACTATTCATGTCCCAGAAGTCTTGGGGGCTGGGGTGAGGGATTCCTCAGGGAGGAGAGGTGGTAGAGCTGGGCTCCCCCCCACACCCACCTTCTTTTTCAGCTTGTGCCGGGCCCGCTTGGCGGCCCTGGCGCTGTTGGGGACTTTGGGCTCCGTGCTGTTGATGAATTCCAGCAGCTCATCCACATCTCGGTGGTCCACGGTGGGCTCCCCAGGGATCCCGCCCAAGGCTCCCCCCTTCACGGGCAGCTCCTCTTTCCGCCTGGTCAGCCTCGAGCGGAGCTTCTCCCGGATCTCGGTATAATTCCGACTCGTCGGGGCAGCGGGTGGCTGGGGGAGGGGGAGGTGCTGACATTACACCCTGGGCCTGGGAGCCCATTGCACTCCCACCCGCTGGCACCAGAGGATGTGGGGAGATGTGAGACAACTGTTCTACCATCAGCCACAGGGCCAAATGGCTTCCCCCTCAGCCAGGCTTGGAGCCAAGGCCACAGGAGTGCAGAGGTCGCTGGTACACGACAGCGTTGGGAGAACACTGACGTGGAACCGGGAGGCCAGGTTTGAGCCCAGCTTCCCCACTTGGCGGTTGTATGACCTTGGGCGAGTCACTCAGTCTTTGTGAGCCTCAGTTTTGTCATCTCTAAAATGAGGACAATAATTCCTAGCTCAAAGGTGACTGGCAGTTCAATGACTTTCATTTCTTCTCTCCTCAACTGAGCTCCCCTAGCCAGCAGCCCTCTCTTCTTCACCTTATGAGGCTCCTGCACTGCTTCCTCCCCCTGTCCAGAGAACATGTGCTCTGATCGGAGCCTCCTGGCTGGCGCCATCTGTGCCCACGGCCTTCCCCTCGGCTGGCTGTCATTCTGGGGCCTGAGAGCCTTTGCTTCCACTCTGCCTTCATCACTCACAAGTGCTCATTCTCTGTGATTACACACGTATACAGACTCATCAGAACCATAGCTTTCTCTCTGCCATTTCCTTTCCTTTGGCCTAAGGAAAAAAAGTCAATCTTAAGAGAAACCACAAAAAGAGCAAAGGTAGCAAAATTTGAAAAATCCCTACCTCACAAATCTGTTGTGAGAATCACATGAGCGGACGCAGGTGACAGAACTTACATGGTCCCAGCACAGTTGGTATAAAAAGAACAGTCATTACCATGAGTCACTGGGGCCTCTGGGGAGGAGGGGGCTCCTTTTGCTCACTGTGCTGGCCCCCAGCCCTCTCTGGCCTGGGCAGGTTCACTCACCGCATTGTGGCCGAAGAACTCACAGTAGCAGCAGTCACAGAACTTCCCATCTCTCTGATGGGTGGAGGACGAGGTGCAGGAGCTACGCTCTGAGCTGCTATCCTCTTCCTCGCCCAGACCCTCATCTGCCTCGCAGGGCTGGGGCAGCTGACACGCCAGGCCACTGTGTGTAAACTTGTGCCCTTTGCAGCTGGGGTCTCTGCTGATGGGGAAGAAAGATAAGCCCCATAGTGAGGGAGGGCAATCTGGGAAGAGGATGTAACAGGAGCCCAGAAGAGCATCCCAACCCCTCTTTCCCCATCCCAGCTATGCTGAGATTCCATCAAGGTCAGAGACAGTCAAACTACATGACCACCTCTTGCAAGGACAGGTGAACATCTCTCACTGTCCCTCAGAGTCCAGCCCAAGCAGTAATGGAGGACTGTCCTTGCCTCCCCTGTCATGCTCACCAGTGCACACTCTTCTCAGGTGTCTCACGGCACCACACACAGTTTTCTCTGACCTACCATTTATGGTTCGTGTCAGCTCTGTTTGCCCATTGGTCTCAAACCAGACTGTTTCCCAAAGGCAGGGACTATGCCACTTTTATCTGTAGGTCCCAGTGCCTAGCTTTACAACCTTGAACACAGCAGGGGTTCAAAAGACAGGTGCCTGAAAAGAATTAGTGGACTGATGACTCCGTTGGAACAGCCAGTTTTCTTTCATGTTCTAAGATGGGTACCCTACACCAATAGGCTGAGTTGCCTTAATCATAGGATATTAAGTTCAGAAAAAGCTAACGTGTCTTCTGGGTCACAGCATATTATGTCTAAATATCCCCTAAATCTGAATAATTTGCATTATTGGCCCCATTTTGCTGCAGAGGAAACTGAGACCCAGAGCACTGAACTGCTTTGTCCAAGGAGGAGGGGCTAGCACTGAGGCTTTGTCTGCAAAGGTCATTCTCTCTCCATTGCATTGCCCTGTCTCTGATTTCAGAAGGCACTAAGGAAATCTAGTAGTATAGAATAGTCTCCCAGGGCAAGAATGAAAGGACCCAAAACTGGAGAGGCCAGAAGAGTTAGAGAGTCCTAGGTTGGGTCATTAGTTGTTCAAGTGCTGCAGGGGCTGGTCCCAGTGCTAAGGCTACAGTTCAGCTAAATACACGGACAGAGCCTGAGGAGTAAAATGCGGCTGCTTGCCTACTACAGGGAGTCCTGGTTGGTGTGGCACTGTGGGATAAAGCATTGGACTTCAAGGTTGTTTGAACCACAAGGTTGGCAGTTCAAACTCACCAGTCACTCCTTGGAAACCCTATACAGGGTCACTATGAGTCAGAACTGATTCGACGGCATTAACACCACCACCACCACTAGAAAGAATAGGAAGCACATGGCAGAGACCATTATCAGTGGTGCTTTTAGAAGTTTAATCCAAACCTACCATCTCTCATCTATTTCATTAGTAAAATTATTTTTAGGAAAATTTATAATATTCTTGAGAATATGGAGAAACTAATATTCTTACTACTGGTGATCACATTAATTTTAAGAGCCCCTTGGAAAGCAATTTTGAAGGTGTGTTCAGAACTTGCTTCCAAAGAACAAAAAAATACTTTGAGAATGCTTTTTTTTTTTTTTTCATTTTGAGGAATCTATTTCTCAAGGTCATTATGAATCAGGACCGACTCAAAGGCACTTAACAACAATTGAAAAAGATCCAAACAAGGGAAGAAGCTTTAGGCACAGAAATCTTTAGAGACATTATTCATAATATTACAAATTGTTGGAGTGACAAATGTTCAGCAACTGGAGGTGTAAACTGAACTACAGCCAACAGTCTCCAGTCTTTCCAGTTGAGGGCTAGGATGACCATGTTGTTGTTGTTGTTAAGTGCCGTCGAGTCGGTTCTGACCCATAGCGACACTGTACAGGGTTTCCGAGGGTGTAAATCCTTACGGGAGTAGAAAGCCTCATCTTTCTCCCGCGGAGCGGCTGGTAGTTTCGAACCGCTGACCTTAAGGTTCGCAGCCCGATTCGTAACCACTACGCTACCAGAACTCCTTATACCGGACCATAAATGTGCTTCTGATGTTGTGCTAAGTGAAAACCAGGGACATGGAACTGGAGACACTGTCAACATTGGGCATGACCAACACACATGGAAAGATACTGTTCTGAGGGGTTGTATTAGGGGAGTATAAAAATAGAAACACAAAACAACTAGATCTGGTATAGAATACAAAAACATATGTCTATCCCCTCCAAAGAAATCTAACTTTCCAATTTATATGTATTACTAGAGTTACTTGTAGCACTCTACTTTACAGACATCCTATCTGATTTAAACAAAGATTTAGGTGTAAGGATGCTTTTATAGTCTAGTATTTATGTTAAGAAATTGGAAATGGCATACCACTGTTCACCGCAGTACTATTCACAATAGCAAAAAGATGGCAACAGCCTAAATACTCATCAATGGCAGAATAAGTAAGTAAACTTTGGTATATACACACAATCCAACAGTGAAGAATAATGCAGAGTCTGTAAAACACTTTCTAACATGGATGGACCTAGAGTACATTATGCTGAGTGAAACTAGTCAATCACAAAAAGACAAACATTGTATGAGACTACTATTGTAAAAACTCAAGAAAAGGCTTTCCTGCTAAAAGAAGCATTTTGTGATTGTTACCAGCAGTGGGAGGGAAGGAAGAGTAATTCACTGCTACAGGATAGATAGACAAATTAACTTGGGTGATGGGGAGGGCAATGCACAAGAAAAGGGAGACTAACAGAAGAATGATGAAGACAGGTGAAGACACAGGGAGATAGGCAAGAGCTAAAGGGAATAGAGGCAAATAATGTTATATACACAACCTTGGAACAACAGAGTTCTGCAGGTATACAGGTTGAATGGGTATGGGAGAAGAATGGGAATATATTCACAAATATGTTAAGTATTTGAAAGAAGTTATCTGTACATGGGTATTTATCTTTGCTGCAAACATAACAATGAATGTGGTGGAGTATGGTGGTGGTGGTTGTGCGCTATGGAGTCGGTTCCCACTCATAGAGACCCTGGTACAGGGTTTCTAAGACTGTAAATCTTTACGGAAGCAGAAAGCCTCATCTTTCTCCTGAAGAACTGCTGGTAGTTTCGAACTGCTGACCTTGGGGTTAGCAGCCCAATTCGTAACCACTATGCTACCAGACTCCTTGTGGTGGAGTATACAGTGGGTAAAATGATGAAAACTTCTTAGACATTACCAAACACCTCAAGGCAATGAGCTGCTGGGCATGGGGACTCAGGACCATAGTCTCAGGGGATACCATGGCCAATTGACACAACACAGTTCCCAAAGACAATGTTCTACATCCTATTGGGTGAGTAGCATCTGGGATCTAAGGTGCAGCTACTAGTCTCTCCATGTGCAGAAGAAAAGAAGAGTGATGAGAATTAAAGATGCCTGGAATCAGTTAGTCCAATGGCCTAATGGAACATGTGAACATCAGTCTCTATGCCAGAAGAACTAGATGGAGCCCAGCTACCAACTGCTTTGAAAGGGATCACATTAGAAGGTCCCAGATAAGAGTGGGAAAAGATGTCACACAAAACTCAAAATTATATATTAAAAAAGACCATATTTACTGGTCAGAAAGAGACTGGAAGAACCTGGGACTATGGGTTTAACCACCCTTCAGGTCTAGAAAAGAACTCATCCTCGTGGCCTAATTTTCAGTCAAGTAGTAGTTAGGTATACAGTGGGGACAACAACACTTAGTAAGGTATGTCCAACATAGAATGGTCAATCATTCAAAATCAAAAGGGCAACATTTTCCTAAGGACGAAGTTGAAAAGGGATGGGAAGGTGGAATGAAAATAAGAAGCACAGGGAGGAGCGGGATAACTGTTACCACATGGAGGGGACTGCAATCATTGAGATGAAACAAAGTTTATGATTCGCTGAATGTAAAACTGATGATCTTGCCTGTAAACCTTCACTCAATTCACAATAAAAATGGATTAAAAAAAAAAAAAGATATTGGAAATGCTGTAAGTCCAGGAAATCTACTTCCAAACAAAGTTACCCATTGACAGTTTATGTTCTCTCTCTCTCTCTCTCTCACACACACACACTCTCTCTCTCTCTCTCTCACACACACACACACACACACACACACACACACACACACATCAAGGAAAGCTGAAACTGACTAGATGGTAACTGGTTGGTTGACAATGACACAATGTTAAAAAACAAAAACAAAAAACTACCCCACACTTATTAATAACATGAGCTTAATTAGGTTACTTATATACAGAAACATACTGGCAATATACCACCCCATTAGAAGTTTATCTTTGGGGTATGAGGACCTTTTTTCTTCTTTATACATTTCTGAATGATTTCAAGTTTTTATGCTTTTTTTTTTTAAATAAACACTTTGTTCATAACTAAAAAAGAAAAAAAAAAAAAAGAGTGTACCCTTTACTTCCACCCCAAAGGCACCCTTTACAAAATTCCCAAACTCTGAGCTCAGGTCACACAGGGAATTTGCCCTTCATTGTCATGCACTTACCTGTGAGAGCTGGGGAGCTGCTGAGAGCTCGGTGGTGGGAGGAGAGGCCCGCTGCAGTGCCCGCTACAGGGGTGGCTGCACCCCGGGAACGGTGGGGGCATCTTTAGGAGCGGCATGCTGGTAGAGGACAGGTGGGGGCTTGGACATGCCCCTGGGGTATGAGGGGCAGCGGCAGTGGCAACAGGGCACTCAAAAGCCTGAGCAGGGAAAGGTGCTGCTGGGGTGGTGGGTAGTAGGTGAGGGTGGGGTGGTGAGCCAAAGGATCCAGGGTGCGATGGGATCAGAGCTGGCTGGGGGTGGTGGCCAGTGGGGCTGTTAGGAGGGGCAGTGAGGTCTGAGTGTCGGTGGTGCTCCGTGATAGGGAAAGTCTCACCTGTGGGCAGATGGGGAGAAAGGTGTCAATGTGGGTGCCTAAACGCTCACTGCCACACTAGTAGCCTGCCTACTGTGACCACAGGACTTCACAGACTCTTAGCATAGTGGGTCCTGGAACTTTTAGGAGTACTCTGCAGTGCTTTGGGCTGGGAGGACTCTTCAAAGCCAGACTTGAGGGGCCCAGGCCTGTGAAATAAGCCACCAGGAATGCTGGTCCACTAAGGGCTATGTAGCCCTGCAGTAGCATGAGCAGGGTGTATGTGTTCTATCCCTCAACGTTATCTCCAGGCCTGCTTGTCTCTAGACATCCCCTGGGCCCAGGGCAAGACCTACAGAAGCCAACAGATCAGCAGGTCAACCCTTTGCCTCTGGGACGCATAGGCTGAAGCAGTCAGGGTGTACCAGACACCCAGGTTACCCTGGGTTTCAGGGAAAAGGTTTTAATGACTCTTTTTGGCTTATATACTGAAATCAATTGGTATCAGGTACTGCTCTACTCTCCCAAGTGCTGAGGATAGCATCACCCTGAGAACTCTCCACTTAGAAGTATGATTGTTGCTATTAAGTGCCATCCAGTTGACTCTGATCCAAAGCAACAAAACACTGCCTGGCTCTGCACCATCTTCACAATTGTTATGCTTAAACCTAATGTTGCTACCACTGTGCCAGACCATCTTCTTGGGGGTTTCCCTCTTTTTCTCTGACCCTCTGCTTTACCAAGCATGAAGTCCTTCTCCAGGGACTACTCCCTCCTGATATTATGTCCAAGAAGTCTGGCCATCCTGGTTTCTAAGAAATATTCTGGTTGTACTTTATGAACACAGATTTATTTGTTCTTCTGACAGTCCAGTTTATTGTTCTCCAACAACATAACTCAAAGGCATCAATTCTTCTACGGTCTTCTCATTCATTGTCCAATTTTTACATGTATATAAGGCTACTGAAAATACCATGGCTTGGGTCAGGCGCACCTTAGTACTCAAAGTGGTCTATATTTGCTATTGAACACTTTAAAGAGGTCTTGTCCAGCAGGTTTGCCTACTGCAATTCGTTGATTTTTTTTTGTTTTTTAAACGATGTTTGATTTCTTGACTGCTACTTCCATGAGTGTTGATTGTGGATCCAAGAAAAATAAAGTATTTGACAACTTTAATATTTTCTTCATTTATCATGATGGATTTATTGGTCCACAGTATAACAGGAAAGCCTATTTACATAGTAAATCAATAACCCAGGAGCTTTCCCCCTGTGTCTCTAAAGATGATCTCAGAGTCAACAGAGGGTTTATACAGAAAACCAAAAAGAAACATCACGCTCAGCATTTCTCAAGTTGGGGGAACTGAAGAAAAAATTCAAGCCTCGACTTTAATTATTGAAAGATTCACTGGGCAAATTATTGAATGATACAGAAAGCATCAAGGGGAGATGGAAGGAATACACAGAGTCACTGTACCAAAAGAAAATGGTTAATATTCAACCATTTCAAGAGGTAGCATATGACCAAGAGCCAATGACACTGAAGGAAGAAGTCCAAGGTGCATTGAAGGAACTGGCAAAGAACAAGGCACCAAGAATTGATAGAATAAAAATGTAAATCTTTCAAGAAAGTGAGGCAGCACAGGAGGCACTCACACTCATCTCTGCCAAGAAATTTGGAAGACAACTATCTGGCTGACTGATTGGAAGAGATCCGTATTTGTGCCCATTCCAAAGAGAGGTGACCCAACAGAATGCAGAAATCATCAGACAATCTCTTTGATATCCCATTCGAGTAAAGTTTTACTATAGGTAATACAGAAACAGCTGCAAGCATGCATTGACAGAGAACTTCAAGAGGTTCAAGCCAGATTCAAAAGAGGCCACAGAATGAAGGATACCATTGCTGATGTCTGATGGATCTTGGCCAAAAGCAGAGAATATCAGAAAGATGTGTACCTGTGTTTTATTGACTACACAAAGGCTTTTGATTGTGTGGATCATGACAATCTATGGTCAACATTGCGAAGTATGAGTATTCCAGACACTTAATTATGCTCATGAGGAATCTTTACCCAGACCAAGAGGAAGTTGTTCAAACAGAACACGGGAACACTGAATGGTTTAAAATTATAAAAAGGTGTGCGACAAGGTTGTATTCTTTCACCATACTTATTCAACCTGTATGCCGAGCACATAATATGAAAAGCTGGGTTCTATGAAGAAAAACGTGGCATCAGGATTGGAGGAAGATTCATTAACAACCTGCGATATGCAGATGATACAACCTTGCTTGCTGAAAGTGAAGTTATCAAGGACTTCATTCTTCTTGGATCAACTATCAACACTCACGGAAGCAGCAGTCAAGAGATCAAACGACATAATGCATTCAGCAAATCTGCTGCACAAGACCTTTTTAAAGTGCTGAAGAGCAAAGATGTCAGCTTGAGGTCTAAGGTGCACCTGACCCAAGCCATGTTATTTTCAATAACCTCATATGCATGCGAAAGCTGGACAGTGAATAAGGAGACCATAGAAGAATTGATGCTTTTGAGTTATGGTATTGGAGAAGAATATTGAAAGTGCCATGGGCTGCCCATAGAACCAACAAATCTGTGTTGGAAGAAGTGCAGTCAGAGTGCTCCTTGGAGGCCAGGATGACCAAACTTTGTCTCTCATACTTCAGACCTATTGTCAGGAGGGACCAGTCGCTGGAGACGGATATCATGTTTGATAAGGTGGAGCGTCAAGAGAAAAAGAGGAAGACCCCCAACGAGATGGATTGGTCAAGTAGCAGCCATCAATGGACTCAAGCGCGTGACAACAGTAATGAGGTTGGCCCAGGATTGGGCAGTGTTTTGTTCTGCTGTGTATAAGGTCGCTATGGGTCAGTACCGACTCAATGGCATCCAACAACAAAAACAAACTGAATAATAATCTTTTTGATGGAAGGGTAGGGCTTTTATACTCATTTCTCAAGTAGAGAAAATGAGGCCTTTATGGTGCTACCTTGATGTCATTTTAAGGACTAAGGTGTGCCTGACCCAAGCCATGGTATTTTCAATCATCTCATATGCATGTGGAAGCTGGACATTGGGTAAGGAAGGCTGAAGAATTGATGCCTTTGAATTATGGTGTTGATGAAGAATACTGAATATACCATGGACTGCCAGAGAACACCACCACTCGTTTGTCAGTTTGTTATATTGTGGTGGCTTGTGCGTTGCTGTGATTCTGGAAGCTATGATACGGGTATTTTAAATATCAGCAGGGTCACTCATGGTGCACAGGTTTCAGATAAGCTTCCAGATGAAGTCAGACTATGAAGGAGGAGCGATGAACTACTTTTGAATATTTAGTCACTGAAAACATTATGAATAGCAGAGAAACACTGTAAGATATAGTCCTGGAAAACGAGCCCCTCAGGTTGAAAGGCACTCAAAATGAGACTGGGAAAGAGCTGACCTCAAAGTAGAGCTGACAGTGATGATGCGAATGGAGTAAAGAACGTGGGAGGAAAGCTCTTGGGACCTTCATTTGCTAATGGGGCACAACTCAAGATGAAAACAGCTATAAACATTCACTAACTGGAATATGGAATGTATGAAGCATACATCTAGGAAAATAAGAAAATTGTCAAAAATGAAATTGAACACATAAACATTGATATCTTAGGCATTAGTGAGCTGAAATGGACTGATATTGGCCATTCTGAATCTGACAATCACACGGTTTATTACGCCAGGAATGAATGACAAATTGAAGAGGAACGGTGTTGCATTCATCATCAAAAAGAACATATCAAAATCTGTCATGAAGTACATTGCTGTCTGTGATAGGATGATATCCATGTGTGGCACTGTGGGTTAATGTGTCAGACTGCAATGCTGTTTGAACAGCAAGGTCAGTGTTTCAAACTCACCAGCTGCTCCTCGGAAACCCTATACAGGGTCGTTATGGGTCGGAAAAGACTTGACAGCAGTTAACAACAACAACAACACAGGGAAGACCAGTTACTACCAGTCACTACCACTATTATTCAAATGTATGTACCAACCAATAAAGCCAGTGAGGATGAAATAGAAAAATTCTACCAACTTCTTCAATCTGAAATTGATCAAACATACAATCAAGATATACTGACAATCACTGACGACTGGGATGCAAAGTTTGGAAACAAAGAGAAGGATCAGTAGTTGGAAAATATGGCCTTAGTGATACAAATGACACTGGAGATTGCATGACAGAATTCTGAAAAACCAATGATTTGTTCATTTCAAGTACCTTTTTAAAACAGCATAAGAGACAACTATACACATGGACCTCACCAGATGGAATACATCGATATCAAACTGACGACATCTGTGGAAAGAGAAGGTGGAAAAGCACCATATCATCAGTGAAAACAAGGCCAGGGGCAGACTGTGGAACAGACCAACAATTGCTCATATGCAAATTCAGATTGAAGGGGAAGAAAATGAAAACAAGTCCATAAGAGCAAACATACGACCTTGAATATATCCCATCTGAATTTAGAGATCATCTGAAGAACAGATTTGATACATTAAACACTAAAGACCAAAGAGCAGATTGTGGGATGACATCAGAAACATCATACAGGAAGAAAGCAAAAAGTCATTAAGAAGATAAGAAAGAATGAATAAATAAAAATGGATGTCAGAAAAGACATTGAAACTTGCTCTCCAGTGGACAGATGCTAAGGCAAATGGAAGAAATGAGGCAGTACAAGAGCCGAACAGAAAATTTCAAAGGTCAACTCGAGAAGACAAAGTCAAATATTACAACAAAATGTGCAAAGATTTGGAGTCAGAAAACCAAAAGGGAAGAACACGCTTAGCATTTCTCAAGCTGGGGAAACGGAAGAAAAAATTCAATCCTAGACTTTTGCTATTTTGCTCTGGGCAAATTATTGAATGATGCAGAAAGCAGCAAAAGAAGATAGAAGGAATATGCAAAGTCACTGTACCAAAAGGAAATGGTTTATGTTCAACCGTTTCAAGAGGTAGCATAGGATGAAGAGCCAATGATACTGAAGGAAGAGTCCAAGGTGCATTGAAGAAATTGGCAAAGAATAAGGTACCAGTAGTTGATGGAATAAAAATTGAAATCTTTCCACAAAGTGAAGAGACACTGGAGGCACTCACTCATCTCTGCCAAGAAATTTGGAAGACAATTATCTGGCCAACTGACTGGACGAGATCAGTATTTATATCTCTATTCCAAAGAGAGGTGACCCAACGGAATGCAGAAATCATCGGACAGTATCTTTGATATCCCATGTGAGTAAAGTTTTACTAAAGGTAATTCAGAAATAGCTGCAACCATGCACTGACAGAGAACTTCCAGAGGTTCAAGCCAGATTCAGAAGAGGCCTTGGAACAAGGGGTATCATTGCTGACATCCGATGGATCTTGGCTGAAAGCAGAGAATACCAGAAAGATGTTTACCTGTGCTTCATTGACTACACAAAGGCCTTCGATTATGTGGTTTATGACAAGCTATGGACAATATTGCTAAGTATTCCAAACACTTAACTGTGCTCAAGAAGAACCTGTACATAAACCAAGAGGCAGTTGTTTGAACAGAACATGAGAACACTGAATGGTTTAAAATTAGGAAAGGTGTGTATAGGGTTGTATTATTTCACCATACTTATTAAACCTGTATCTGACCAAATAATCCAAGAAGCTGAGTTATATGGATTGGAGGAAGATTCCTTAACAACCTGCGAGACGCAGATGATACAACCTTGCTTGCTGAAAGTGAAGTGGGCTTAAAATACTTACTGATGAAGATCAAAGAGCACAGCCTTTGGTATGGATAGCATCTCAATATAAAGAAAACAAAAATCCTCAACAACATTCTTTTTTTTTTTTCAACAAAAACAGTAGATCACTTTTTATTTTACTGTTTGCGCAATGGTTGTAAAAACATACAGTATTTTAATTCATTAAGAGTTATGGACATTTTCTCATCAATATCATACAAAGAGTTATTATTTAGTCTGTGAAATAGCATTCTCTGCTGAGTGGTTAGTGGCTTGCCGGTATCTAAAAACTCATTATTTACCATACAAATTCTACGTGATCTTCTTTTTATTATTATTTTTTAATATTTTATTGTGAATTATGTGATAGTTTACATAGGTGAACATTAGCTTTACACTCATCCTATCGCATTATCGTTTCACTGCCATGGTTACAATCCCCTCCATTCATCATCAACCAACCACAGGGTATACCCTGTAAGCCTGCCCCCTTGGTCATCAGCATACATTCCCTTTCCCTTTCTGGGTCCAGAGTTCCTAACCTCTCCATATCTCCACGTCATCGTCTCTGCCTCCATCTCTGGAGTCACTGTTTCTCTGGGTAGGGTCCCACACTCCGCTCTTCTCCCTTGAGGGTTCCAGGGACCTCAGCTCCTGGAGTGCATAGTCAATCACTCCCTTCCTTTTGCTACGAAACGTCCACCTTTATTTCCAACCCTTGCTGTCAGTCCTGATAACAATTATTCACTATTGTATCACAAGACACCTATCCACATCTCCTTTCATCAGCCCTGCCCAGACAGATTGGATACTACTCAGTGGAGATTCTACTTTCCTTTACGCCCTCTGGATCTAGGCTCCCTCTTGAAAGCTTGTGAGTCAGTCACTTCTTGCCTTTGTAGCCCCCCTTTTTGGGTAGCCAATGTTCAAGGTGCCCATCTCTTTCTACTCTGTGTATGGAGGGGTGGGAATGATCCTCACAGTAAAGATTTGTTCCTACTTCTGAGCATCCATAGGTGTAGGTCAATTCATCAAACTATATCAGATTACTCTTTTTTTTCTCTTCTTTCTTCTTCTAGTTGAGCTCTGATCATCCAGTCATTGAAGCCAGGTCAAGTGGGTATTATCTGCAAGTGTGGGTGTTCTTATGTATATGCCCTCTCTTCTTATCAGCTGGATGCTTCACTCTCCACTGTAGTCCTCTGTGGCAATGTCACTGACTCTGGGCACGCCACGCTGCTGGCCAATTAGGTCTCTACCTGGGTTCACAGGAGTCTATTGAACGTTGCAGAGCTTAGCTCGCAGCTTTACTGCTGTTTTTCCACACATTCTTATAATTGGAGAAAAGACTGAAGTCGTCAAAGACTTCATTTTTCTTGGATCAACTAACACTCATAGAAGCAGCAATCAAGAAATCAAACAACGTACTGATTAGGCAAATCTGCTGTACAAGACCTTTTTAAAGCATTGAAGAGCAAAGATGTCAGTTTGAGGACTAAGTTACACTTGATCCAAGCTACGGTATTTTCAATAACCTCATATGCAGGTGTAAGTTGGTCCGTGAATAGGGAAGATTGAAGAAGAATTGATGCATTCACGTTAAGGTGTTGGAGAAGAATATTGAGAGTGCCATGAGCTGCCAAAAGTTCAAACAGATCTATGTTGGAAGAAGTACAACCAAAGTGCTCCTTGGAGGCCAGTGTGGCCAGACTTTGTCTCTCATACTTCAGATATATTGTCAGAAGGGACCAATCACTGGAGAGGGATATCATGTTTGATAAGGTGGTGGTGATGGTAGTGGGCCATGGAGTCAATTCAGACTCTCAGTGACCCTGTATAGGGTTTCCGATGCTGTAAATCTTTACAGGAGCAGAAAACCTTATTTTTCTTCTGAGGAATGGCTGGTAGTTTCGAACTGCTGACCTTGAGGTTAGCAGCACCACTCATAACCAGAGCTCCTTTGGTAAGGTGGAGGGCCAGAGAAAAAGAGAAGGACTCCCCAGAGAGATGAACTGGCAAAGTGGCTCCATCAATGGTCTCAAGTGTGGCAACAATTTGAGGTTAGCACAGGACCTGGCAGGAGCTCTGGTAGCATAGTGGTTACAAATTGGGCTGTGAATCACAAGGTCAGCAGTTCAAACCTACCAGCTGTTCCACGGGAGAAAGAGGAGACTTTCTGCTCCGCTTAAGATTTATAGCCTCAGAAACCCTGTATAGGGTCGCTACGAGTCAGAACCGACTCCATGGCACATAACCACCACCACCACCACCACCACCACCACCACCACAGGACCTGGCAATGTTTCGCTCTGTTGTGCATAGGGTCGCTATCAACTCGATAGCACCTAACAACAACAATCACCACCAGAAAACAAACAAATCTAGGTTGAAAGAAATACAGCCAGAATATTGCTTAGAAGTGAGGATAGTGAGACTCTGTCTCAAGTACTTTGGACATGTTATCAGGAGGGGCCAGTCCCTGGAGAAAGACATCATGACTGATTAAGTACAGGGTCAGGGAAAAAGAGGAAGACTTCCAATGAGGCAGACTGACACAGTGGCTACAACAATGCACTCATATATAACAAGTGTAAGGATGGCGCAGGACCAAGCATTGTTTCGTTCTCTTGTCCAGAGGGTCACTATATGCGATGACTCGATAGCACCTAACAACATGGTGCTACATGGGTCAGGTGGTGGTGATCTAAGTTCTAATTTCCTAACAGCCATTCTAGACTCCATTTTATGTTGGGGTATGCTTACCAAGTGCCCTCCTGGATCCCAAGATGAACACTGTCAGAGCCAATGACAGCTCTGAGTACAAGCTGCTCTGTCTCGGCATTTGTTTTGAAGGTCGGAGTTGTAGGGAGTTCCACAGAGATGGTCAAGGACTAGGCCCACCCCTTCTCCGCTTCAATCAGAACTACTCCACTTTACTGATTTTTTGACTTGTTTGAACAAAGTGGTTTGAAAACCACAGCTCTCTATATTTATGATTCTCCAGTTCTATCTTAGAGAACAAATTCCCTCCTCTACGAATTCTTCACAGGGAAGTCAAAGGCCTGGCTCTCTCGAGCTTGGAAACTCACCAGGGATGGCAGGAGGACTCCCGAGTGAGCTGCATGGCATTGCACCACTGGAGTGTGGGGAGTTCCAAAGGCCCGAGAGCTTATGTGCTGACAGGAATGAGCTGGGGTCCCAGTCCCCTGAGTTCCCGTGGCAGGAGGAAGACGAAGATGAGGATGATGAAGAGGAGGACGAAGAGGAATGAGAGTCACCCCCACAAGACTGTGATTTGCAGGATGTGTGTGACAAGGAGATCTGGAGAAGGCGGAAGAAAAAGGCTCAAGGTAAAACAGCAAATATCACAGTTGGTCCTGTGCTGCCTAAGCTTACCACCCCCCATCTACCCCCACCCCCCTCACTGGCTAATGTGCTCAGCAAAGTACAATGACTTTCAAGTGCACCTGGGAAATGATGGGCAGGTCTCTGCTGGGCAGGGAAGAAGGTGCTCTCAGCTAAGTGAAGTGTATGGATATCGGTAGAGACTATGAACTGTGGCCTTTGGGGAGTAGTGAGAGCTGGCCATGGAAAGGTAGGTGAGTGGGGCCTTTAGGTCAGGGGTCTTGAAACTGAACTGATTCTGGATTAAAAAAGGGTTATGAGGGGAATGAGAAATGAGGAAACTCTGGCCATCATGATTCCTGAGATGACCAACTTAGATGACACCCAGTTATCTTGGAGGCCTTCTAACTGCAGCACCTTTCAGATCCTCAGACCAACCTTTGCCTCTATGTCAGACTAATGGGTTTTCAAGCTGCCAGAGTTGAAGGCAGCATGGTCAGTGATGAGGAATGGGCCTCTACATTGTGCAAACTGTCCTGAGGAGTTGCCTTTTTCTTCTTCCCCCAAATCTGAACCCAAGCTGCTAATGCTGTGTCAATGTAATCCAGTAGGCACTTAGTGCCCGGGTGTTGGAACTGCCCAACTGGAGCCACCTGAGAAGCCAGGGCAGGGACACCCAACTTCTCTGGGGAGGCAACCTTCCGGCATTCAGGGACCCTCTTAGCAGTTACCTACCGCCACTGCGTGTTCTCGACCTGTCTGCCTCTCATCTTCCTCCATGCTCTTTCGGCAACTCTGGCAGACCCACAGAGGCATCTCGCCTAGGAGGTTCTTGACGAGCTTTGGCATGAAGTCAGGGGGCAGCTTCTCACCCTGCAACACCAGTCCATTTTGAGAAGGGCCTTCTTCCCAGCCTTTGCGTTCCCGGTGACACAGTAGGCAGCAAGTCTGCACAGACTGGCTGGATGTGGGGGACACCTGTCCAACAGACAGAAATAGGGTTTCCCAGGAGGGGAAAGGCTCTATTTAGAAATACTACTAATAGTAAGAATTTTACTTATAACATGTTAGGCACTGTGTTAGGCACTTTGCATACATAATTTTAGTCCTTGTAACAGCTCTGCAAACTAAGTGGTATTATTCCCATTTTTTTTTTTTTTTTTTTAAAAGATGAAGAAACGAATGTTAAAGTTAAAAAATAAGTTGCCCAAGGTTATAGACGTAGTTGTTAGTTGAGCTAAGGTCTGGACTCTCACCGATCTGACTCATTCCCATGATCGTACTCAGATGCCTAAAAATGCCCCCAAATCTTGAAGGTCAAAGACAAGTCAACAGTCCCTTCCTCTCTAGCATGTCTAGGAGGGGCCACAATTCTCCAGACCAACCCTCACGGGGAAGGAAAGCAGGCTTGCAGTCAATGCAGAGTTTGGAAGACTGTGTGGATATTCAGGAGAGTTGCACAATTACAAATTCCACTAGGATCAGAGCAGCATTATAGGGGAAGAAAAAGGGAAAGCAGGTGCTTCACAGAGGAAGTGAGGTATGGAGAAAAGCACTTGGGCTTTGAGGTCAGACAGGCTTGCATTCTAACCCCGCTACATGTGAGCTAGGTAACCTTGAGCAACTTATTTAACTTCATTGAGCTCTAATTTTCTACCTACCTTGCAGAGTTGTTGTGAGGATCTATGCATAAAGCAGGGAAATGCCTAGCTTTAGACAGCGTAGTGGTTACAAAACGGGCTGCTAACCTCAAGGTCAGCAGTTCAAAACTACCAACTGTTCCACGGGAGAAAGATGAGGCTTTCTGCTCCCGTAAAGATTTACAGCCTCGGAAACCCTGTGCAGGGTAGCTATGAGTCAGAACCGGACTCCAAGGTACTTAACAACAACATCCATAGGTCAATACACAGTATATTTTTTTCCCCCTACTCTAGCAAACTTGACCTAGAAATACAGATCTGCAGGCTTTCTTTCCCATTGAGGGGTACTAACTAGTAGACTGACTGCATTTAATAATGCCAACTAAATGGCTTTCCTAGAACCTGTTACTCTATAGCCCACTCCCGCTCTTACACTGGGATTGACAAGACCGTTTTATTTGGCCAATGGAATGTTAGCAAATGTGGGATGTCAGCATAAGCTTGAAAGTGTGAATGTAGTGCTACCTGTTTTCTTGCATGGCTGGGCTTGCTCGCTCTTGCACCTCTACCATGCCATGAGAGCATGACCAGACTAGCTGCTGGAGGGAGGTGAGAGACAAGGGGAGAACATGGAGTCTTTCAGCTGAGACCATCCTATACCAACCTTTATCAGCTCCCAGCTGATCTACCAGCTAATCAGAGATACAGAGTAAACCCAGCTGAGATCAGCCCAGCCCAGCCCAGCCCAGCCCCAATCAGCATCCAGCCAACCCACGGACTCATGAGAAATAATAAATGGTGTCATTAGGGAGGAGTGCAATAGTTAAAGTGAATAGAGGTAAATACTGTTAACTGATGACACATGGAGGGGATTGCAATCACTGTAATTAAATCAAGTGTATGATTTGTTGAATGTGGGACTTATGATCTGTTCCATAAACTTTCACTTAATTCACAAAAAGTTTAAAAATATTGAAAAGAAAACACACGCAAAGAAAATAGTGTCATTTTAAGCCCCTAAGTTTTGAGGTGCTCTGCTATGCAACAAGTTAACGGGTATACCTTCCATACTTCCCACCACTAGGTAAAAGGTGTTTGGAAAGGCCTAAGCAAAGCACTAAGGGGCATCCCCTTATCTCACCAATAAAACCCACGCCACCTTCTGTCCTGCATAAAACCACCTTCTCAAAATCAATTGGCAGTCTACTACACTTACACTGACCTAGGTCCCTGGTTTCTTGAAAAAGAAAAAGGAACCAAAGAGTGGTACTAAGAGCATAATGAAACACTTGTGGGAGTCTGAGGAATTTGGGAAAGACTACCAGAGAAAGAATTTGACATGTAGAGTTCACGTGAGAACCTGCCCAGTCAATCTCTGCCAAGGGAACATGTCAGTGAGCAAGGTAGTTGCTTAATAGCAGCTACAAAAGAAGGACAGCCCTCTAGAACCCATCCCTGGTGAGTAAGTATCCCTTGGAAAGGGATGAAAGGATGATAGAGGAGGATGGTATTCAGAGAAGTGAAGGTGGTCAAGGAGACTTTTTAGAATTGTGCCCAGGACACTTTCTGCTGCTACAAGAAGCCCGTCACTCTAAGTGGATGAGTTGAGGCCCCAGTCCTAGCCTTGTAATGTAATGGTGATAACTATAATCTTAGATAAACACCAGGACATGTATTTTTACAACAGGTTACTTTTACTTGAGTATTAGGTTCTAATGTCGCCACTTAAGATGAAAATTTTGTATAAGTAAAATTATTATTGAAATGCTTTATATGGTCTGTAAAGTTTAATATGTAGTTTTGTGGGTAGAACCAAGAATGTAAATGTATAAAGTTCTAGTAATGTACAATAAGGTATTTTTTGTGCCTGTTTTCTTTTAAAAGTAAAAGAATTCTAATAAGTCAAATGTGTGGTCAATGTGACCGTACTTAGTGACAAAGTGCTTGTGGGAGGTACAGGGTTGCAGGAGGAACAACACTGGCTTTGGCATTAATCCTGGGCTTCCTTCAGACACCAGCTATATGGTGCTGGCTAAATTTTACTTTCTCTGTTTAGACTTAACTTGTGGAGTTGGCTGTGAGAAATAAATATGATACAATACCTACTCCAATGCTAGGTAGCTAACCAGTTGTTCAATAAATAGTACTAATTATTACCATGATAACAGCTAGAGGAAATAATATTTTAAATTAGAACTAGAAAATTAAAATAGAAAATATGGTCTCTGTATCTCTTACATGCCACAAGTCTAAGTAGGAACCGACTCCACAGCATACAACCACCACCACACCAACAGCAGTTTTCCCTGGATTGTTAGACATCTTAATCTCTGTCCCCAACTCCATAAAGTCATTCCTTTAAGCTTCCCAAATACTCTCTATATCCTCTTACCTCAGAACTTTTGCTAAAATGGCTCCTCTGCTTAAAACCTCCCTACACCTACATTTACTAATAAGTAAAGCCTCCTCTAAATAAATATTACTAGAGAAGACCCCTTATAAGTCATCTCTACTCACCATATTCTAATAGTTCACTGTGACTTGGTTAGAGCATTTATGCCTTGCATGTAATTTATTTACCTGCATCTTCCATCTTGTCTACTAAAGTGTGCTCCTAGAAGGTAGGCAACAAGTACCTCATGGTACAACAAAGGGCGTGGCACAGGGTATAGGTCCAAGAAGAATACACAGTAGCTAAATCAGAGTTGTAATGTCCCCCATGGCAGTACGGCTGGCAGGCAGCTTGTAAGTAAGACATGATCTGAAATGATAGCTTTCTGTTGAGAAGGGCCATCTCCCCGTACTGAACTTCTACCCAAATGGTTCCAAACTCAGAGTGAAAGACTGCATTCTTCAGGCATTACAGTGAGATAACCTCAGTTCATGGAAATAGTGTGATTCCCTAAAGTCCAACTGGTACACATAATAAATGAGATTAGCCATCATTGGAAGTGACTTTACAGGACAAGTTGTCTTCCCAGTATAGGAAGAAACATAGGACCTGGGAAGCTAATTAAGCCCTAACTGAAGCAGGGCTGATACCATCTACATTGTGTAAGGTTGTCCAGAGGATTAAGTGACATTATAGGAAAAGCACCTAGCTCAAGGGAACTGTGCAGTAGATACTCAATCTACTATCTAGGTCCCTTGCTGTCCTGTTCTTAACAAGTCTACAATGGATTGGTTTAGCCACTGTTCTCTGAGTTTGATAAACATGAATCCTCTTTTCTAGGGCCAGGGAGGCCCTGGTGCCTTTTCTCTCGGACTCAATCATCTCTGTTCTCACTGCCAGAGGGTGGTGAAAATTGCAAGCCCTACAGATAGGACATTCAGTCAGTAACACCAGTTTTACTTCTGATTTTGCTTTGTTAGTGAAAAGCTCTCAGTTCAGAATGCTCTTTAGCGGTAATCCTCTGTCATTCTCCAAATTTCTGGCAATCATGATCCCTTACATCCCAGAGTCAATCAATTCAGGTTTTTGACTACCTGTTCTCAAGCTGTAGTCTTAGCACCTGGCATAGTATTCCGACATGAAATATGCTCAGTAAATCTCAATGTTTACTGAATAAATGACACAGACAACCATTTCTCTTCATCACAAAGGCTGATGAACAGTTTCTTAAACCCTGCAGCCCTGGAACTAATTATTCCTTCTCACTTCAGTTTAAGTTTCAAATCCTCTCTGGCTACAGATCTAGCTGTATGCAGAAGATGAGGGAAGGCTTTAGGGCTTTACTCTTGATTTTGGGTTTGCTCACAAATGCTCCAAGATAACTCTGCTTTCATTTCTTAAGATACTCTCTGACCCAAACTAGAAACTCTAGAGAATCTGGGGTTATTCATACAGCGGACTCAAACTCAGAGAAGCCAAGAAGCCAGCTAACCTGTAGTCCAGGGTCACTTTGGAGGCACAGCATGCTGGCAGTTGTAGTCATCAAAAACTAGTTTTTCTCCCTTACCTGTCAGCACGCCTAAGACTTTTCTGGCCCTGAACTGGTAAGCATTCTAGTTTTTCCTGGAAGGAGCTCTGGTAGTATAATGGTTATGAGTAGGGCTGCTAATCTCAAGGTCAGCAGTTCAAAACTACCAGCAGTTCCATGGGAGAAAGATGAGGCTTTCTGCTCCAGTAAAGATTTACAGCCTTGGAAACCCTATACAGGGCCACTGTGGGTCAGAACCGATTCCACGGCACACAGCCACCACCAGTTTTTCCTGGATAAACAGAGATAAAATAAAAGGAAGGGGAAAGCTGACCATGTAATCACTTTACTTTCGGTTCATGCACTCAAGTTTGGCCCCTGGATGGGGAAAAAGCTAAATAGAAGGATTTCTTTGGAG